CTACGGCTCTCACAACAGTTCAACCTGTAACCCCAGATGTGTCCAGCTACGGTAAAATTAACTTATTCACTAGAATGAGCCAGAATAACGCAAGCTTTTGCTTGTTTTAATTATTTTGTCAAAAAGTGTGAATTGTCTTGAGGAAGTTTCATGCATAACGTTGAATTCTGCTTTTATTTTCCAATATTTTATTAGCTGACATCTCTAGCATGAATAATAGAAAAACTGCATGAAATGTTGCGTAAATACTTTTCGGCATAAGAAAAATAAACGTTGCCAAAAAGGAAAGATTTGTGGAATTGAAAGGGCTCATCTGCATACCTTATATTATTTAGCGGAGAATTTGGTAATGGAAGGAGTTTTAAAAGAAAAAAAAAAAACAAATGGCATGCAACTGACCACAACTTGAGCTTCATGTAAACCGGCAATAACTGCAGCAAAAATCACCTCTGTGCTGTAAAACCAGATTAGGTCTTCAAAAGTGTTTTTAATAGCACAAGCTTTAAAGCAGAATCGGAATTGGTGAGCTTTACAAAATCAAATTGCAAGTCCAAGAGTCGAGTTTTGAAAAACCCTACCATAGCTAAGAAATGCTCAGTCTATCCAACAATTGTACTATTACCGTGTTCACTGTTGATTGTGTCATTTGGGCAATACAGAGAGAAACTAGACCTCCACTTTTATAAGTACAATCTTAAGATAAACAGGAACAATAGCAAAATCTGTTGAACATTAAGTAATGTTGCGAGTTTGGGAGTTTATCGATATACAATTATTTAAACTCTGAAACGACGACTGCAACTTTTAACCTAAGCTCAACTTGAAGTTCATGATCCAGTTTTTGTCGGGAGCCCAGTTGATGACTGAGGGCGAAAATGTTGCTTTGGCAGGGAAACGCTCTGCAAGAGTTTGCCGCTTACTTAGAAAGATGTCAAAGAAACAAAGCACAGATAATCCATCACATGCACCTCTATGACTTATGCTTTCAGAGTGCTAAATATTAAAGAGGAGCTTTTCTTTCGTCTTCGAAGAAACCCCAAACTAGCGCTTATGCAAATTCTGATTTTAGTCCTCGGAGTAATATAGACTTGAGATCCGATTGTTTCAATTATAACCACTCAAAGATCGGCAAATAATAGTGAGATTATCTATCTATTATTGCCAGAATTTGAATTATCTCTCTATTATTACCAGAATTCAAATAACTCTAAATTAAATGACTTAATTCGAGTTAGAAGTATGAAAGAAGCATAAAAGAAGTACTGGGTTTTGAGTCAGAGACTTTCCGCAACTTGGCTCATTTTTTGTACTCCTTCACCGAAAATGATTAGACTTTTTATAGGGTACTGCTATAACGGCGAACGATCCCAAATGAGATGCTCCTCTAACTCCGTCTGCTCGGGAGGTCAAACTTGCATTAACGGACTATGCTGCAAAACAACGGGCGACGAGTGGCAGAGTAGACAACGCTTATGAGGAAAAATTTTATGATAGTTCAAGGGTATTTGCAGATGCATGTGCGGGAATAACTGCACTTGCCAGTTGCACAAATGGCACATGTGGTGAGTTCGTCTGCACCACGTCGAATTATTGCTGCGAATGTGCGTATGGAAGAACCAGTGGATTGTGTTCTCAGGTAAGTTTGTTTAGTAGTGTCTCCTAATTAGTGTTTCCTTTTTGTAAAGGAAAGCTGGAATTGCAGCTGCAATTTCTACAAAATTTTCGCTAAGCGCAGAAGCTGAGTGGATGAACAAATGAATATAGAAGAATGAATGATAAAGAATGAACTAATCAATTGATGAATGAGAGAAGATGTTTGCTGAGTGATAAAATGAATTACAAGTGAACAGTGGTGATGAATTTCTAGATGAATGATGAAATAATTGAGTGATGGATGAAAGAATGAAGTGAGTGATGAGTAAATAATTAATTGAATTTAGTCATTCAGTCAACTGGCCTGTAAAGTATGTAGTCAACAATCAAGGCGTAAAAGAATGAATGAACAGTTGCATATTCATGTGATTGAACATTAGTTGAAAATTGCATGAATAAAATGCTAACTGATCATCAATCCCCTTAATGACATTACAAATGCATGGCTTTGTTTGAAATCAAAAATGAATGCATGCTCCAAAGTTAGAAATCCCAAAAACTATTCTTTCGATGAGCT